AGGTTGCTGAAAGGTAGAACATTTACAGAAAAAAGTTTTTTAACAGGTAGTTTTTGCTGTAAATTATCTTTTTTGCCTTTGATTCTGTGCTTGACATTTCGCTGACTGTTGAGCTGCATTTTTTTCCTTCATTATAAAATGCCATCTGCTCCTCCAGGCAGTTCCTTTCAATGTGGAGCTTTCAGCAGAAAAGAACATATCCAGATCAAAAACGGAGGGAATTTAGTTTCAAAGGAGATATTAGACCGTCTTTAATGAGAAAAAAAGTGTTTTTTCCTTTTTGTAGACCCTTGCAGTGCAACTGAGGAACTTCAGCTGTGACATAATGACCTTTGTTTGACCTTTGAAGGTCAGATATCTGAATTTTGTTCCTGTCAGGTTTTTATAATTGAACCTTGGGGACATCTGCTGTAATCTAAAATGAATTTGGCTATTTCATAAAAGGTTAACTCATGTGGAAAATTTCCGTATTCAAATAGGAAATTAGCCTTTTTCTGCTTTACAGTTATTGCAAAGTAAGTGAAGAATTGTTTTTATCTACAGTGTCAAATATTCGATGGTCTGAAATAAATCTCTCAGTGGTTTATTCCTTTCATCTTAAAAAAAAGATGTCTGTATCAAATGACATCTTTCAAAGTAAAATCTTCATATGATTATCTCTAAACAAATGTAATCAATTAGGACAATATTTTCCTGCTTTTTCAGAAAAGTTCTTAAAAATTTAAAAAAGACAGATTTTGTTCTAGTTTAGATGAGAGACAAAATACAAGATGCCAAAAAATATATTTTAACAGTTATTTCACATATTTGTGCATTTTTATAATTTATTCTGTCTTTTTTTACAAGAAGTTAAATATATTTTTTATTCAAAAAATGTACTCTTTCACCGCCCTAGTGTTCATCTGGATTATTTGCAACATATTGTGATTCTCTGCCATGTTTATGTCAGCTTTAAAGCAATTTAAAATTTGGAAAATATCACAGTTAAATCAGATGACTTTTAGGTTAGCTGTGTTAATAGTTAATTCAAAAGAATGATACAATAGGCCTGCTACTTACCATTACCCCCTGTCCAATGTCCAAAGGGGAAAAAAGGTCCTTCAAAGCAAAGCAAAGGTTTATGCAGCCTTATATGAGAGCAATGCAAAGCTGGAAAGGGCTCTACAAAAGGTGGAGTCCTGCAAGAGGTACACAAGATTTCTGAAAAATTGTAAACCTGTAAACCTAAAATACTGTTCATGTTGTTTCAATATGTTATATGAAATTCATATGAAGTTGTCTTTGCTGAAAAAAAAAGGTTCAAACATACTAAAAGTATTTGCTAAATGGAACAGTGTGCTCCATAAACTTTTTTTAAAAAGAAAGGTTTGTTATCTATATGGTCCATTTATTGTAATTTTCACCACACCATTTGTTTTTAACTAAATTGTTGCAAAATTCTAATCACCCACTAAAAAAATTTGGATAACTTAAGAGATAATGTTCCACTTTAATTAAAAGCACAAGTATTTACACCTTGAAATGTATCTTGCTATTCCAATGCTATATCTCAGGTTATGGCGGATTTAAGATTGCCGTTTTGTCCTCATCACAATTAATTTACCTAATCCATAAATGTATGTGTTTTACAATAAAGGCATAAACAGTTAAAACTATATATGAAATTGTTCTTCCAGTAAAAAAACATTATGTGTATTATGGTATTTTAGAAGAAATGACAAATATTTATATGTGATGGGAATTACATTTGTGCAAGCAGAGTTGGGAAATCTGTTAAAAAACACCAATTTGTCTTAAAAAATCAGTGTTTTCTCTTATGAATCTTCAAATTAGACTAGTTGTGCAAACCTATTACATTGTGAGAATTTATATTTCATTATATTTTTTATCTTCAGGTTTGCAAGGCCAGTAGTAAAGTAAATAATCACTCTTATGTGCATTTTAAAATATAACATTTAATCGCAAAACAATCACGTATTAATGTCGTTCAGGAAAGTTTCTGTTTTTATGTACTAACATAAAGATTATATTTTACTAGGGGGTGGTTTACCTTTATTTTACTTTGATCCTTCTCATGAAAAACATGTTTTTTCTCCATCCCTGTTTCTGAACCTGTGCTGCATTAAAGCTGTAGTAAGAGCTCACAGCCACAAGATGTCACTGCAGAGCAGGGAATCGGCCTGCCTGTTTATCTGAGCCCGCCTCCTTATCATCATCCAAAATATACAGTATGTTGAAATAGGTGATTCCATTAGGGGAAAAACAAGACAAAGGATTGAGAAAATTTATTATTTCATGATTACACCTGTTGTGTGACTTTATGAAGTTTTTGAGCTTGTCTTACATTTAGAGCTCCTTTAATAGGAGTTAAAGAAAGTACTGAGGAACTGTAAATACTATAAGTATGAACCCAATTAACCTCCTTGTTTGTATTTTATTGAATCTGTTTTTTTCTTTTAATATGTTATAGTTTTGCCCTTTATTACAAAATTAAAGTTAGCCTACCTCAAATCTTCAACATGGACTGTGGAAAGGGAAGAGATGACAAAATATGTAAATATTTTGTACTAATTCAAAGAAAGAATGAACACACCTGTTCTAAGCAAACTATTAGCAACCTCAGCTCTTCCAAGAAGAATAGTTTTCCCATTTTATCAGTCCATTATTAACTTAAAATGTTATATATAGCTTTAAAACTATATGATCCATGTGCTAACCTGATTAAATTTCAAGGATTGATCCATTTTCTCAAACAAATTTGCGATGATGTTATTTATTTTCTTTCTGTGTAGTAGGAAGGGAAGAGCAATTTGGTTCAAACAGTATCGGCCTTGCTCTCGTCCGTCATGAGAAGACCTTGTGGCATCCATTTCCAGACATAAACAAGGTCAGGCTGAGCAAAACATGACCAGTTTCACTTATGTGGGCCTGTTGAACTGTGACTTAATACTTTTTCTTTTCTTCTACCCATTTTCCTACCAGTTCTAACATTTACAGACTTCACCTTTAAGTCATTGAATGGAATCGTTATCCCTGTCTGGGCAGTTGCTGCCATTTAGATTTAGACATTTGAAATGTTTTTACCTCCCACGGCTGATAAGCCTACTGAACACTTTAGTGGGAGTTGCTTATTTTTAGGGTGTTTTTTTTTTTTTTTTTTTTTTTACCCCCTTTCCATCTTAAAGTATGTAAAGAAAAATAAAAATACAAACTTTACTTTTAAAATCTCTACATTTTTGCGCCGAACTATCTTGAATAGAAATGTTAAGGTTGTTTTTTTTTTCAGTGTTTTAATGTTATTACAGTGTCACAAGTACAGAGCAATGAAATTCCCTCTCTGCATTTAACCCATCCCCTTGGGGAGCAGTGGGCTGCCATTGTGGGGCGCCTGGGGAGCAGTGTGGGGTTAAGGGTCTTGCTCAGGGACCCAAAGTGGCAGTCTGTGGGAGTGGGGGTTGAACTCAGAACTTCAGGTCGCCAAGCGCAATACCCTCTGGGTCGCCACTCCCCAAAGCAGACGTTAACATAAAGGGTATTGCCTCTGGACCCACGGTGGCAGCTCATTCCTCCCCAGCTGGGATATGAACTCAGTTTGCAGGACGGGTGACTTACCAGGCGCTTAATCAGATTTCTTTATTGTGGTTCTATAAATTCATCAATGCAACAAATTTTTTTTTTTTGAGTCTTCAGAAATAGAATATAATAAAGTTTAACTAAATGAAACTTTTCTCTCAGTTTGTCATGCTTGATAATACATTTTCCTTTCCCCTACAAATGAAAGTGTCTCTTTAAGGACCTGCACAGCGGTTGTGCGGGTTTGGGCTTACAGAATTGGTTGAATGTGGAGGTGGTCACACAGGTTTTACTGTGGCTGTTTCATATATGACCTGTAAACACAACAGTGGGTGTGGTGGACGAGGCACTAACCAGGTGCCATTGAAATGTTGACTTAATCCACATTAGTGAAGGAGCTTAAAGGTCAATCAGACCATTACCAACCCATAGATGTTTAAGGTGCCTCAGTTTTAATGTCCCAATATTTTTGTAGGTATTTAAATCTTTAAAAAATCAACTTTAGTCTTACAATAATATATTGAAAACTGTAACTTTGCAAAAAAAAATTTACATAAATCGTGCATTGATAATGCAGGATGGGCAAAAAAAAAATCTGCAGCACCATTTAATAAAAGATAAATAAATAGTTATATTTATGATTTTTAGATGATACAGGGAAAAAAAATCTCCACTCTAGTAAAACTATTAACATCTTTGTTGGATTATGTTTCCCACCCCAAACTGGGGCTGAATTGGAGAGCTCCTTCAGAAACGGACTGATGCACCCTAAATGCACCAGGGAGCGTTATCACAGATCCTTCCTCCCAGCAGCTGGAAGACTTCTCTGTTCCCAACAACCTCAATAAGTTGTTACCGTAATGCTGATTTTTAGCACGGTTTCTGTCTTAGTCAGTTTAATAATATGCTGCTGTCTATTAATTTTTTTTTGGACATCTCTGGTGTTGCTGCTATTTTTCATATATCTATCATTGTTTTACATTACTTTTGTATTGAAAAACATTGTACAGTGCAATACTCTGTTTGCTTTATTTTCCTGTCTGTTATTTTTATACACTATTCTAAGGTGCACATTGTGTGACCACTTCTTCTATATCCTTTCCTGCTGTTACACAACATTTTCCCCATTGTAGGACACTAAAGGGATTTTCTATTCTATTCTTAATAAACCAAACACTGAGTTTATTCTTACCTCCTGATGTTTTTTTTTTACTTCCATTTTTTAATACAGCAAAAGGCCTCAAAGATCTTATGATTTCATTTAGTTAAAGGCACCACATGTGAGGAGTGACGCATTGCAGGAACAATAGTGAAGAAATAATCCAACAGCAGGTATTTGTCTCCTCTATCTGCAGCTTCAACATAAAGTCAACCATTTTATTTCAATTTTTCCTTTAAAATGATCATTATTATGACAATATTCAAAACATTTTAAAACATTTATTGTCTCAGGAAAGTGCTACGCACAAACGAAACATACAGAAATACACGCACATAAAAATCTGTTAATGCTGAATAAAAACTGTAGTCTGGGCTGCGAAACAGATCTTCATTTAGAAGTTTCTAGTAGCTCAGTCTCCTCTTCAGATGTCAACAGACTTCGTCTGAATCCTCCTTGTGTCTTGATCACCTGTAAAAACATACATCTATCATTTAAAGCTCAATAAACATTTAATTTCTCAGCAAACCTTGTATTTGTTTGCTCCAAATCAAATCGTCTTTCTCAGTCTGTCTTTATTATCTAATTTATCTTTGTTATTGCTTTGTGTAGTCTCTTCAGAAAAAATATAACTTTATATCATTTAGCTCTGATTTTTTAAACTGAAATAATTAAAAGTAGAATATATAAACGATAGTTTTATTCTCAGCCAAAGATCCCCTTTTTGAATTCAAATGTCCTAATGTGATGCCCTAGCATAGAAAAGATTATTTTTGCGTTTCTGAAGCCAATAAAGAAACTAACAGATACTTAAGACTGAAAACAGTAATATAGACTGAAGAATAAAAATCTATAGTTTTACAATAACTTTCATCAGAAAGCATGCTCATTTATTAAACCATAAAATAACTTTTCTAGAAGGTTTTTTCTTCCAAAAATTGCATCAAAACAAGCAAATTAACCTTACCTCGCTCTGCTACTGTCTGCATCTGCCATCCTTTACACAAAAAGGAGTTTCTGGCCTTAAATTGTTTGATTAATGAAGTAGATTATGTCTTAAAAATGTTCCCCTGTGTGAAATGGAAGAATAAAGCTTTGCTGTCTGTTCGGCATCATGCGGAGAGGATCATTTTGGCAGCTGGGGAGTGGTTTGGGCTTTTAGGCTGCTCCTGAAGAATGTTTGAGGAAAAAGCTGCTTACATGACAAAAAGAACAGCGCCACCTACAGAACCCAAGGAGAAGAGAGAGGTGAACTCTACTACACATAAACACCAATGTTGAAGGAAAACCCCTCTGCATTTAGGCTTAAATCTATATAATCTAATTCTTTGTACGGTAATTTAAGATCTGATTAAGAAGAAAGAGTTTTTATTTGACTGTTAAATCCAGCATTATATTTTTAGATTCAGATTCCATTCTGGGAATGTTTTATGGTGAATTACTGGCCTGACCCGCCGTAGGCCTGATGACGGTGAGAGGTGCAGAAAAAGAAGCCTGCAAAGCACAGAAACTGAATTCGTAGGATAAAAAGCTCTATTCAAACTAAGAGTTACTTAATGCCTGTCTATGAATCATGACTATTCATGCTTGCAGAACAGTGGGGCTTTATATCCAGCATGTACATTATCATACTGATGCACCACTGAACGTGGGAATGCAGTGTTGCACCCTGCATAATTACAGTTACGTTCTTCTGCACAGCATAGACGACTGTTTGTCAGATAAATCACATATTCCACACAAAAAAAAAAAATCATCTGATTTAAAGGATTTATGATGCCAGGATATAGGATGTCCAGCTCCAGACCCAAAACCTCCCTAGCATCCTGACTTTCATGACCCCTCCCCGGTGTTCGTCATGGAGGGGACTCCCTGATGGTGTTCTGGGCTGAACACGGCTGAGCTCCAGGCTCCTGGCAAAATCCCCAGTTCTGCCAAGGTTCAGCTTGCAGGCTGTCATCAAGATTGTTCAAGGTGAAACTTCAAGGTGAAATCTCTGCCCCTGATCTTAGGTTTATCAATGTATGTAACAATGAGCCATTGTTACTTGTATATTGGCCAAAGTAGCAGCTAAACACAGCATCTGGTTTTCTATATTGGTTTATTTTGTTGTTTTGGGTGAAGTGGATTTGTTTGGGTTGTGGTTCTTTGGCTGGCCACATCTTGTTTTCATTTTTGTAAAAAGGTAAATTGATTTCACTTTACAATATTTTGTTTTTGTTTAACTATTCATAAACGGGAAATTCATGGATTAAGGAGTTAAAATATAGTGAAATACTCACCTCTGCTGTTTCACTCTCCCAAGCAGGTGTGTACAGGACTGCACCATTGGATAATTGAAGAGGGGGGAGGTTTGTTGTTGTTGTTGTTTCTTGTTTTAATGGCGGTTGACAAGCAACTTATTGGTGTGCATTACCGCCACCTACTGGTAAGGAGTGTGGATCAGGACGCAACTTAAAAAAAAAAAAAAAAAAAAAAAAAGAGGGGGGAGGTTGATCTGATGTATGGTGTTTTCTTTATTGAATTTGAGTATTTGTTTGGATTGAATTAAAATATTTGTTTCTGTATTTATTGGTAAAAGTATTTCTTAAGTACCGGTAGTTGTTTGTTTAAACCAAAATTTCCTTTCCTTCTTATTGTGAAGCTGAACAGCCTTTTAAAAATGGTTTCTTCCAATTTAGTTCCTTCTCTATTTAAGAAAGATGTCTGCCATTGTTCTTGGTTTTTGGTGTGGTTTGGTTGATGTCCTGCACAAGAAGAAAATTAAAGTTTTGTCTGCTGAAAACTCTTCAAAGCATGTTCTTCTTTCAACCAGTTTGGGTCCCACCTCCAAGATTTCTTGGCCTCCTGACAAGCATGTGACAATGTAATATTGGTCACATTAAAACATTTAGTTTGTTGTTCTTTATGCCACTTTGTAGTTTATGTGATGGTATGCTTATGATAAGCATCTGTTTGGAAGAGAAAGTTGCAACCAAGCTTTTACTTCCTGGATGCTCTGCTTTAATGCTCCAATGAATTCTCCTTCCCCATGATGCAATCTATTTTGTAAAGTACACCAGGTTCTGCTGTGGTAAAGCACCCCCACCACATAACATCATGCTGCCACCATCAAACTTCACATTTTGAATGATGTCCTCAGGACTACAACCTCTCCACTTTTTCCTCTAACTGTAACATCAGCCATTATGATGAAATACTGTTTACAATCTGCTTCCTCTCACTATGATTACTGGAATTTTCTATATTATTCATGTTTGTAAAAGGTTTTAGTGCAGGGGTTTTTAATGTTTAGCAGGTTAAGGACCCTAAACTGATGGGGAGAAGGAGTGGGGACCAGAGGCATAGCCAGAAAAGATTAATAAGTGTGGGGAGGCATTAACCAATGTACACTGAGGGGCGGCCAAAAGTGGAAAGCGAGAACCTCAGGATCAATTTACACCGTTCCACTTTCCTAACAAATAGACGCATATATTTCAACATCCGTGCTTTCTAGATTAAAGGTATAGTGGAAACAATTATTTGAGGTTAGAGTTCTGGGGCGACATCTTTTCCATTGACATTCCCTGCCTACTTTTATCAATAATCATTATGCATAAAATTGATATTTACAAGTACTAATATCTATATTAATTATTATTTAATAAGTTTCTACTATAATAGTTATTTATGTATGACTTTACTGAAGACTCCTAGATGACTTGCAGAGACACATAATTTTCTCTTTAACCCATATAAGACAAAATCTAGTTCTGAAAAGAGCATGAATTCTGTATATATCTTCTTTAATATTAGTACTTTGATGTGCATAAATAACAACAGTGTTTTTGTTGTCAAGTAATTGTTACTGTATGAAAAATCTAAATGTTTTGAATATTCCACTTGAGAGTATTACTGCTGTCAACATCTGTATTAAGGGCAGATTAGACTTATGCAACCGCACACATCAAATGTCGCTTGGGTCTGGTCGCAAACCAGTTCTGCTGGTATGCTTCTGCTCGGTCTGGAATTTCAAGGGACGCACAGCAGTTTCCCGCCAAAGCGCAACGGGGAGACTTTTCGAGAACTTGCAAGAACTTCGGCTGCGCCAGCGGGAGTGTTTATCTTCCAAAACAACAATGGCGCGTCTGCAAGATATCATGGTCACGGAGATGGATATAGAGTTGGTAGACATTGAAGAGGAACAGACTCTCTTAATGGAGTTGGCAAAAAAAGGAGTAACCTTTCGTCGTAGTTGTCCATTGTAGTTGTTCCTCGGTTTTTAAAAAGGTCTGCGTGGGTTTGTGACCATCCGACGCATAGTCAGGATCTTTTTTTAGGTGCGCGACGACAATTTAACAACCTCTGCTCAAGGGGCGTGGTCATGCACAGAGACAGAGTTGACGGTTGCACAGGCTATGAGTCAGAAGAATAAATTGGCCTTTACAAGGGAAAAAATGGTAGGGGTGGCCAATAATTGCCTAAGGGAGGCCATGGCCCCCATCTAGTTCCACCCCTGGTGGGGACACCATAATTATGGTGTGAAATTGTGTTATATCAAACTGGTCCTAAAGTCCCTCTATTACATATGGAGTAATGTAACAAAAATAACTTTGCCCTGGGATTATAAAAGATTATTAAAGTATTTCTGATTCTGGGAACCGTTTCATTGTCAATGAAACAGTTCCTATTGACTGAAAGACATCTTCTGCCTCCATTTATCTGTTTACTTCAGTGTGTTGGATTCATGTTAATGTGTATTTAAAGAGATTTCAATTAGTGGAACAAATTGCAGGGGGGAATATAAAAGAAAAGTCTAATCAACCAAAACTTTCGCGACCCCCATTCAGTACCTCTTTGGACCCCCTAGGGGCGCTGACCCCCTGTTGAAGACCTCAGTATTAGTGGATAATGGTGACCCCATTTTTTTTAGAAAGATACCAATGATAACTCAGAGTTGTGAAGGTTCAATATTCTTTTTCTGATCACTTATAAAGGAGTCAATAAAAAACACTGAAATCTTATCTTAAATTCAGTTACTAGAGGCCTTATGATGAATTTAATATTCTTCAGAAAGGTACACCAAAATATGATATTTTAGGATTTAACTAATCTAAATATTGTGGGTTATCGTATATGATCTCAAAAGTGTTTAGCATGTTGTTTTATAATAGCCAGTGGCTAGATGGTATGATTGTCTTATCAAGCAGTCATTCAAAAAACAAATAGCTGTTTCAAGTTGAAAGATGATCACGAAATGGAGCCAGAAAAACAGGCAAAGTGATTTTAGTAACAGTCCATTACTAAGATTTAACCAAGTAAATTCTACTGTTCACAGTAATTCATCGTCCTTCTATGTACTACCAACCAACCAAATGTTACGCTTTAACTGTAAACAAATCTGCGGCTTCAGTTTTTCCTTTGCCGTGCAATGCATGTGAGGCTCTGCAGCCGCATCCTCGCTATTCAAATCCAGACTAACCCTCTGCCCTCCGAGGCCTGTGGGACTTTATGTAAACGTACCTTTTTTATCTGTGTCCCAACCGTGTGTAAGGGGTGCATTTGCATAACAAGTCGGCACATACGGGAAAAAGAAGTTGGGTGTGTGTTGTGCTTTTCAGGGTCCATTTGCATGTTTGTGACTTCCTTGCTGTCTGTGATATAGCTCCATTCCTCAGATGGGAGGAGTGGATGTCTCTGAAGAGACGACCTTGCTGTGAATACAAGCAGAGCAGAATGACTCCCGAAAATGTAAACCGACTAGTTTTGAGCTTTCTTTGGGAAGCAAAGGTAACTGCCACCATGTAGGGTTGTAATAGAGGTTTATGAATTTCCACAATCCTCTCTCCTGATGGGACACTGTTTGCACAGGTGCTCTGCAGAAACAATACTAGCATTCAGGTATCCAGAATATTGACATCCTTTGCCTGTGTAACTCTAACCCTGCAAAACTAAGAGACATGTTCTGGAAAGACATGAATCACCAGCACCTTGTCCTCTCTACCGCATGATAATCAATATTTACGGTTCTGCAGCCATGCTGTTCCTGCAAAAAGAGGAAAAAAGAAGGCTTTTTTTTTTTTTACTGTTGTCCCTTTTGTGGTTTTGCTTTGTTAATGTTAAATCTAAGGAATAATCTAAACTGATGGATCAAATGAACTCCAGATATAGGGGATAAAAAAAAAAGAAAATATTAATAATATTAAACAATTTGATTTTGAGCACCCGTTTTCTAGTGCACTTTTTGATATTGCTGCACTGTGCTAAACATACCATTTATATTAAATAAAGTTTACAAAGAAAAAGAAATGAGAAATAAGAAATAATTCAGATTTTCATTAATGCCAAGACCCTGACCTCATGTAGTTGAAGCGTCTTAGATTCTGTGGCACCAACTTCCAGTTCTAGTTTGTGAGGCAGACACCCGGTCTACTTAATAACAGTCTACTTAGATAAAACCTTTGTTTTTGATAAAGCTTATATAGAGTGGCTCGGGTTATCCTTAGCTATCTCTATAGTTATGCTGCTATAGGCTTAGACTGCTGGAGGACATAGAGACCTCTTATCCTCACTCTCCTACATTCTACATCTATTGTCTACTTTTTCTTAATTTCTTAGTTCAGTTTTTAACTTTATGTTCTTTGTGTTTGTTTTTGCCACAGTAGCTTGATCTGGACTAGTGTTTAATTTAGCTTTGAGACCATCCTAGAGAGAGGCAGGGCTGCTGCTGTCAAGAACTTCATCCCATAAATGATACAATTTGGGATGTTTTTCAGTGTTTAGTCCTTCTTTTTTCCTAGACATATATATGAGTTCTGCTCATAGTGTGACATACTCTTATATGCGCTCTCTCCCATTATTTTGACATGATACTGTAAGTCACTCAGATCTCATGTAGGCAAACCCCCCAGTGATCTGGGTATACCATTACCTTCTCTAATATAGAGAGTATTCCTGAATCTATGCTTCTATATTCCTTTTGTGTTATTTATTTGTTTTCTCTGAGCCCCCAACACCAGCAACGACCCTTCACAACCACACCATGGACTGGTCTCCCTGCTGCCCTGCTGCCCTGCAGGAAGAGGCCCAGCAGACCCCGAAACTGCCGAAAAAACTCTAATTCACGTCATACTAACAACACCAAACCAAAATGTTGCATATTTAAACCATATACATTTCTTCCCTCCTTCTGTGTCTTTTAAACAAAAGCAACGTAAAGCGGTTCACACTGAGCCTAGTTCTGTTGGGTTTTTTTGTTCTTTTAAAGGGAAGTTTTTCTTCCCCCTGTCGCTGCATGCGTTTTCTGTTTAAAAGATTGCTGCATAGTCAGCAACATAATGCA